AGACGAACTGAAGGGTCCCCCGGGGGGAACTCCCATATGAAAGGGGCGTGGATGCTCGTTGTCTCGCTTAGGGGTGCAATTTTCGGTCTCACCTACGGTGTTCTGGGCAAAACACCGTTATATTTAGCCGTAAAGGTCTCTTTTTGTTTTATTTACGCGTTTCATGTTATCAAAGTTTATTTACGGGTCAAAAAAGGTTGGGCCACGCCCAGACTGGTCTCCTTTAGGGATTTAATTCAAAAGTTCCGACCATCATCTCCGCCCCTTTTATATGGGAGTCAACCCCCCCCTCCCTCTTCAGCGATGGGTCATCAGTAGGCTTTTCGGGATCCGAGATTTCGCTTATTTGACGGTCGGGATCCGGGATTTTAGAGGGAAACAAAATGGAGATTCAGGGTGAAATTATGAAAGTGAGACGGGAATTGGACAACGAATATTTGGCAAACCAGTTGCACTGAAAAACGATACATCACTTAATTTGGAGACGCGCTCTAAACACCTTTCATTTAGACTTACGATATCATTCGGTTGACTGTAACTGTATACAGTCCAACAAATCTATCTATTGAAAGGCATGTTTAGGATTACGGTCGGAATAACTGGATTGAACAAGCCTAATGAGGACCTTCCATGACGTCACGGTGGCAATGTTTGTTTAAGTGAACCACAATCAGCAAGCAAACTCCCCTAGGGAGAGGAGAAGTGTGACGTCACGTTACCATGGTGGCAAAATCATGATCTGGATCTTAACAATCTTTCTTGACAAGGACGGCCATTTGCACTGTCGAACGATGGAAGAAAAGTATGGGCTACTGTTTTGTTCCCGAGTGCAATCATGCACAGGAAAGGAATTCATGTTAACTTTTTCGTTTTTTTTTGTGCCATTGGCTACGGTTTGTTCAGATCCAGACATTTTGCTACCCTGGCAACGTGACGTAACGACTTCTCCTCTTCATTGAGGCGGTTCTGATTTGTTCCATTGAGAATAAAGGGGCATATTACAGACCGCTAACTTTCGGCCCTTGTTTCCAGGGTGTATGTAAAACACGGAACCTACCCGGAACCTACCGGAACCTGCCGGAACCTACCGGAACCTGCCGGAATCAACCGGAACCCGGAACCTACCGGAACCTGCCGGAATCACCCGGAACCGACCCGGAATCCCGCGGAAACCAAAATAATAAAAATAAAATAAAATAAAGATAAGAAATAAAATAAACACAAGTAACAAAGTAAGAATAAAACGCTATAGAAATGATAAAAATAAATAGTTTTCACTTCAAAATGACGGTAACAGAACGGCACGTGACTAAGGGAGTTACGAGCTAATCAGGAAACAGCAGAAAAGAAGAGAAAAGCGCGGGTTCATTAACTTTTCGTGGAATTGCATTAAAAAAGAACAACCAGAACTAAACGAAGTCACACAGGAATTGGTTTATTCAAGTGAAAAGATACGAGAACATATGAGTTCACTGTTTGTGACAAAAACTGCTGTTTGGCTTGCTTTGGTTGGCGGGTAACAACTGCCCTCCCATATACATAATGTATAAAATGGCTGGAGCTTAAAAATATTCGTAGAAGCCGGAACGTTTGTATTAATTTATCTATTGATCTAACACAAGCAACGGACATTAACGGCTTACAGATTCAACCTCATTTACCAAGATTATTGTCTTGATTACCATTATTCAACATCGTCAAGACCCTGATAAACTAACAAACAGAACATGATTACAAACGTCGTTCCTGTTGACGGAAGACACGATTAACCTAACGGTAAGGGCTCGATATTACCCTAAACAAAGCCTAAGAACGCAACAAAACACCTTTCAAAACAGAGTGATGGGTGTAGGAAATACCACTAAACCAAGGGTAGATAGTTACGTAATGAGTACTTGAAGGAAACACAACGACGTCGATTACATGGGAGTAAGACAAAACAACGGTCGTTGACAGGTACCTTTCTTTATGATGGTAATCGTACTGAGTGAAGTCCAATTCGGTCTGTAATCATATGAGTAATTAACAAATGGGACGACCGCGAAACGGGAGTCCGATTTGTTAATCAGGAGTATGGTTACAGATTGAATTGGATGACACGATGTCCTGTTACCAATTAATCATAACCATTACAATTTCCCACAAAAGTAAAATTGCCAACTAAAAAAGAGCTTTTAACAGTCATTTTCAAATATCACAATTAAAAATATGGAGAGCAGCTTGCAAAATGGCTGTTAAGTTTCTTTCAAAACAGTCGCCGGAGCTTAAACCTCCTCAATTTTACAAAGTTACTCTCTTAAAGTTATTACTATAGTGATTGTAATCAATGATTGGGGGATTTAATGAAAAGGACTTACAATGATAAGCTCATATAGCCGTTTGATTACAGCCAACTGTCCGCGATTGCAACTTTGCAGATTAATTAGGGCAGAATACAGCAGTTTATGCACCAATCTATTTGAGGATATTGTAATTGTTATGATTATGTCTGATAATATTATTAGATTTCATTTTGTCTTTTGTTTTTTGTTCGCCAGTTTATACCAGCGGTACGGACTGAACAGAGTAATCGATAACCTGAGAAAACAGACGTGGTATCAGATTTGGCGTCTTTATAGAATAATTTCAATACTGCTCAAATGAAGGGGCATCACTACCTGTAGCACACAGGTATTGGCATGGCGCTGCCAAACGTCGCCCGTCTTGTCAGTTTAAGAGGTGGACAAAAAGTGTTTATACTGTAGTCTTCGCCATCAAAATGGGAATTGCCCTTCTTTTTTCCGTCGTCATATATGAAACCGATAGTTTTTATCGAAGAAATAACTTGGGTATTAAACGATTTCTTCTGCTGCATTTTTTTCAGTTTGACTTTTATAAACTGATAACATTAAATTACTCCACTGAACTACACAGACGTGTTTCTAGCCTCCTTTTCCGTTGTAATCACTTCCTCAGATTCTCGTATCGAATCATTACTTTTTATCCCGTTCAAAGTAGATGAAATACTAGATGATTATATGACGAATTGCGAGCAATTCAGCCCTAGAATGCGGCCGTAACATCCTAACTACTTGCTACTATATGATTTGGCTGGAGGATGCGTGTTCTTTAAATCAGAGATTATTGAGTACGTCCCTGTGACAAGGCAACAAGAATGGTGTTAGGTTTGGGGGAATCTTGCACATCGTTGGCAAAAAATATGGCTGCTTCTGCCTTACACACTTCAACCTACAGTGAAAGTATACGTTAGACAACTTGCAATTTTTTTCCCCATTTGAATAATATGTGCGGTTCATTTTGGTAACTATTACCAAGTTGAAAGGTGGTTGTGCGACTCGGCCCTCAGGTTTCAGCCCTTGATTACAGCCGTAACACTTGGACACTTGCGGGGGGCAAAACTCTAGAAGGTAACAATAGAATACTCCATCTGGTGGTGAAGGAAAACCGGGCTTGGGAGAGGGCGAAAACCGAGTGGAAGGGGCTTCTTTGTTCGCTACAAATGGCAGTTCTCCATAAGACGTCTTCTGTGGAAACCACCCTGAAAAACTGGTAGCTGGCTGCTGACATTCGTAAGGGTTAGCAGACATAATGTCTGTAGGAAGGTTAGGGTACGCATAGGCGATGCGAGGGCAAACAGACAGTTGCTGCTTCTGCTGTGGCAACTGATTATCGCCGAAAGTTGTAGTTCCAAAAGTAAAAGAATCCAACACGCGCTGCGATGAGGTAGATGGTTGCTGTTCCTGATGCTGTTGACTGAAAAATGATGAAGTTTGAGCTGGAAAGCCATCAAACCCAAGCTGGGACAAGGTAGATGATTGCTGTTGTTGCTGCTCATTGGCAAAGGATGTGGCGCCAGGACAGTATCCATCGTAGGCAAGTTGTGCCGAGGTAGATGATTGCTGTTCGTACTGTTGTTGACTAACAGTGTGTGTAGTCCCCGCAGCAACACGATTGAAGGCAAGATGTGATGATTTAGAGGGTTTCTGTTGCTGCTTTTGTTGATTAACAATATGTGTAGTGCCAGCAGAAACACAACCAAAGGCAATCTGTGACGATGTAGAGGGTTGCTGTTGCTGCTGTTGTTCACGGCTGAAAGATGCGCTTCGGACATGGAAACCCGAGCAGGAAAGCGGTGGCGAGGTAACCACTTGTTGGTCCTGCTGGTTTTCACTGAACGATAACGATCCGATAGGAAAGCCAGTGTACGTGACAAATTTAGAGCTGGAGGTATGCGTTTCCTGATGGTTTTAAGCAGACCTAGTGGTGTTCATTGGAAAACTGGTATGCGTCAGCTGACTATCGCCGGCATTGTCCTCAGAGGCTGCATCTAGTATATTTTCTTTGACGCCTTGTTCCACATTTGGTGAGTTGGACGAAAAATTGGCGGGGCGGGAAAATGTTGTGTCAAGGACAGGCTGTTTGTCGGATGCACGAGCACGGCCTCTGACAGGTTTGCCCCCTTTACGCCCAGCACCTTTCCGCCCACTGAACTTTAGTGAGAGCTGATGAAGGTTTGGTAGGGCAGTGTTTTTCTTTAAGAAGTCGATGTACTCCTTCAGGACTTTATTTGACTCTGCTGTTGCCACTGTATGACAACACAACCCTAAATACGAATACTGAGGGCAAACAGGGTCGCACTCAAAAACGTAACATGTTGCACTCTGTTTAGTTGGTCGTCTTGTTACTAGGAGGGGCTTGCTAGGCTGCTTGGAGTTGAACACCTGTTTCGCAAATGAGCAGCTTGATCCAGCAACTGGCAGAACGTACCCTGGGGATGCCACTAGCTCTCTGGCCTCCCTCCACAACTTTTTCAAGGTAAAAGAACATATGTGTGGTATTTGATCGTAGCCAGTAGATAAGAGTGGCAGCGTGGAGCTCGCTTGAGGCAAGATGAGCATTGCAAGAGTCCTGTCCTCTGATAATTCAATCTTCATTACAACCTTCATGTGGGCTTCCCTCTGTTGTGAGGTCATTTTGAACCAATTTGGTCTCTCCAGGAACCGAAATCCCGGACGAAGTTCCCACTCTCCAGTTCTTGCCGCTGCTTTGCGTAGCAGATCTTTGTGCCGCTCCCCGATACATGACACCTTCTTGATAAACTCTGGCAATTCACTTTCTTGATATTGCACTTGGTCTTTGATCACCTCATTCATGCTTTCACTTTTGTTTTGATAGTATGGCTCTGGAGGCGAACCCAATCCCACCTCCGTTCGCAGAGCTGGAAGCATGTGCTCTTTCATTTCTTTGGCCTTGTTTTTGCAAAACCACTGATGGAAGGAGGGCACTTTGAGCGGGTTCGCATTAACTTCTAAATTGTTCCACGTCTTCTGTTAGGAGCGAAAAAAAATAGAAAGCTTAGCAATACCAGTCAGCACGCAACATTAATTAACTGATCGACGGATTCTCTATGAATCAAGACTCCCTTGCTTTAAAGTGTAGTGGGAAATAAAATACAAGATTACACTATTCAATTTTTCCCGGCGGATACAAACTCGCCCTTTCAAAAACAGTTGCGCGGGATTAGGGTAGGTAGTTGGACCTTTGGGTCTTTGTTCTGTTTCAGTTGCAATGTTGTTAACTTTTTTAATCGTCAGTACTTCGCCCATTTTTCTCCTGGCCTCTTCAACATAACAGATCCTGTGTCAATGATGACGTTATGTAACGTCAGTCTTTGCGTGTAGCCTAAAGTTAGGATCCATCATCTCGGATTTTATCAAACTGCTGATAAATGTTTCAATCGGAACTTAAACCAAGTGAAATATGTTAAGGCTTGTTAAAGTGGGCAAAAATGTCAAGCGCCGGAAAGAAAGCCCTTTAAGACAAAATGCGTAATAACTAGGAATATTTCCAGGAATAATTTAACAGCTACTGAAAATCTTGACCTTCTCCTACTCCCCCCTCCCCCAACACACACCCCCAAAAAAAAAATCTTCAAGAGGGTGGAAGAGCATTCTCTACTTGCTCACTCGAAGGTTAAAGTCTTGCTCATACCCTAAAGTTCGTATTAATATATTGTCTGTTCTCATGTCTGACTGAGTGATAATTCGTTATTCTATCAGCATTGTCTTGGGACAGTAAAGGAGAACGGTGTGGCTAAAAGGGAAGAAAAACATGAAACGAGAATAGTGTCCATCTACTGTTTGAATACGTATGGTACCTTTAAGTGGTATTTTACCTCAAGCGACAAAAGCTTTGCATCGAACACCTCTTCGCTATCTGAGTCCACCAGCCCCTCATGGTGAGTGCTTCCGATGTTGTAACCAAATATGTCCCCAATGAACGCACTCTGGAACTGTTTGGGAACGCCAAGAGTAGTGAGCTTGTCTCCACAGTTTCTTTTAAAGTGTCCGAAGCATCTGAGGAGCCTTGGATTGGTGCAGGGCTTGGACAAACCCTGCTGCAAAGCAGTCTCTCCATCCGTTCCAAAGGCTTGAATTTCAGAGAGGGAGGGTTTCAGCTCCACCAAGGAGGACATAAAGTAAAAGTAGTTCGAAAACTGTTTCCTTCGGTGGACCAGGATTGGACCCATGATGACGGGGTGTTTACCAGTGCGCTTATTGATAACAAGCCCGTGCTCGAAAGTCATTACCGTGACATCGAACGCTCCGAGATTAAATGTTGGATCTACTGAGACGATTTTAAAAGCTTCAGGTTTTGTCGCATTACGCTCCAACTCACGTAATTGGTAGTCGGATGCAAGGACGCACATTGTGTCGGGGGCGCCTTGGACCTTGCGAACAAACGCTGTTTCCGGAGTACGAGACTGATTAAAACACATTTCCATCACAACAGACAGTTGGTCCCTTAGGCCTTTCACGTTCTTTCGTCTTCGTTCATTGCTTCCTGATACGGTTCTTCTGTAATTGCTAGCCTGTTGCCGATTCCTAGGTAAACTACCAGCGCTGTCAGCCTCCATGATACCACCGTTAGCATCGTCTACAACTTCCACGGCTATTTTGGGCGTGTAACTCTGCGCCTCTTTTCTCAGGGGATCCAGTGTACTAGGCATTGTTCTCATATACCCTGTTCTTCCTTTTGAATTACCATGCGGTGCAACTTCAAAAGAATGTTCCGGCCCATCGAAATTGTACTTGAGGACGCATACCGGCAAAAGGCAACCTTTGTGATCTGGGTGAGAGAAAACGAGGTGTTTAACGGAGTGCTCAGTTAGAAGAGACTCTAACGATAAACAGACGTCACTAGTATATGAATCACTATAATCTGTTACCTTCTGTTACAATCCACATTTTTAAGTGTAGGATAGACATTGTGTATACCAGTCTACTAATCTGTTCTTGTCAAAATTAAGAAGTATGTAAATTTTTAAGTCCTGTCGCTAGAGTTCTCCACATTTCTTTATAAGACACTCGCGTGTTTAAACTGATCTCATAAAGCTAAAATTGAGCTTCGACAGAGGCGTTTTCGCAATTCCTTGTTTACTGTTTCCTTTAAGGTCAAAAATTGTCTCAATTGTTTGGTCAATGGCGCACAAGCTGGATTTCACTGGGCTCTCATGGAAAAGACGAAAAACAAAACAGAAAAGTTGGGGTCCTCGCACCCTGATTTGCGCTCAAAAGGAAAACATAGACCTTATATGAGCTTTCGCCGAATTTTACCAAGCGAGTGATTTTCAGGAGAACAACGATCTGACTCTTCAATCAATAGCAAACGACATAAAAAGTTGCTAATATAGACTAGGCTTGTTGTTTTTGTTGTTTTGTTTTTGTTGTTATTAGGCGCGCATTCTGCACTGACATGCGGTATGTGTTTACCTTAAAGTACGATATTCTTACCTTCCATCTCTACAATAAGTCGTTTGTAATCTGACGCAGTTCCGTTTGCGTGATACGTGCGACGCATAACAAACATATTACTGTCCACCATATCTTCCTTACTAGGCTTGAAATTCTTTGGGTGTTGACATATTTCTCCATTCTTATTCGCACTTTGATTAACTCTGAGGTATGTGGTAACAACTCCGTTGTGTCTCCAGGTCCCTAGATCGTCGGCACGTAAATCACGTGGGTCTTTCGAGTTCGTAAGGTTCACCAAGAAACAGCAGTTCTGTTGAGCACCTTTTGGGAATTTTTGACAAACAGCTTTTGACGTTGGATTTGTTGACAACAGAATGCGGGCAGTTTCAGTCACGGAAAATTCGCCATCGTTTATTTCAGTCATGGGAAAAGATAAATTCCCGGCAAAGTAGCTGACGATTCTTGGTAACACTTCGCAGTTCCTAACAGAAATCAAACCAGTCAGACTAATCCCGCAAAATGTTAACTTTGAATAAACAATTATCATGACTGATGTGCAATATATCTTGAAACTGCCGTAAGAACTGCCCCGAGAAAGGTCTTACGTTATCTAAACATAGGAACAATGACGTCCATGTTTCTTACTTCTTACTACTTTTAATCATATAAACAGACTCGTTATGAATGAACACATTTACAGTGCCCAAATGTCATAAGAATCAATATTACAAGAAATAAATAAATTCGGAGCTGAAGCTGGCGAGAAGTAGTATACTTGGGACCACCTTATAAAAGCGTCAGAAGTAAAATTTAATTTCCAACAGCGGAAGAGTCAGTGTTTCTTCGATCCTGAGTATACTAAGAAGCCGTAATGACAAATGAATTGATCACCAGTCGCTTTGGACGCGAAAAAGGTGAAACTGTCCTAAATTTTTATTTGGTACCTTTTTTAAAAATTTGTCAGATATAACCTCACTTACATTTATTGGTTCACTTTTTTCTGAATGTATGTAACCTACCTCGGTTGGAATTCCAAACATCTCCTGTGAATTTCTATTTCAGGACTCTGGTCCTCTGAAAGTTCAACCTTTAAAGTGCTACTACGACGAAAATTTTTGTTTTTGTTTCCGAGTTTTTTTAACATAAATCTTTTGTATATGTTCAAAATTATACAAATAGCGAAAAATTGGAACGCTACTTGCGTACGGGGGCTGGAAATTTCCCACTGAAAAGTGCGTAAATACCGTCCGCCATTACAAAGTTCGCAAAGCAATAGCCCGCGAGATCTCCGCAAAGCGGTCGTGCGTTTGACCACGTGATTTATGCACTGTGACGTAGAAACATCAACCAAAAGATTCGCATTTGGGAAAAGTTTGTGAGTTTAGAGCCTTTTAACAAGACGTTTAAGATGTCATCTCCGTCGGATTCCTCTCCCTGCACATCTGAAAGTGATCTAGAAAGTTTTACAGTTGACGAAGTGATGGGGGAATTGTCTGAATTTGCGCCGTACGACGACAGTTGCGAACCCCTTGCTACCGAGGAAGAAGCCGCGGACTACAACGAAAGAGTTCATCGCGAAGAAGAAGAGGAACAACAGTTCAATCAATCAAAGGGCAATCAAAGAGGAACAACACTACACTAATGCAGGAAACTCTCTTCTTGCAAAACTATCACAGTATCTGCTCAAAATTTTGCATTTTAGCCTACACAAGAAACACAACTCATGCTGGGCTCGCAAGGATCTTCGATGTAAACACACAATTGGCCCAAACATAAAGAGCCAATAGAAACACAGGATTTTCGATCCTTCGAACGAGTATAAAATGGTCAAGAAACACTCTTTTTGTGACTGATACCGAGAACACATCTCTATCAGTCTTTTTATTCAATCGGCAACTGACGAGATCCACAAGATTAGGATCGAAACCGCGGTCTTGCCTGACCATTCACAGAAAATTTCAGAAAACATTATAACGTCAGATGGGCTACTGAGTGCCCCTGGCACAAGCAATGCTTTTGAGAATGAGGATAAGATGGAAGTCTCATACGACATCGCTAACGAGGATGATCTGCTGCTCGGCAAGTCCGATGACGAAGAACAAATCCCTCCGTATCAAGTGCCTAGAAAACCTAACCAGCCTAAACAGCATCGCCAAAGCCGCGACAGGCGCCCTCAAAGGAGTACCAGCGAACCAAGGACAGAGCAGTACCGAAAAAAAGGTGCGATAAAAGCTTTAAAAAGGCACACGGATAAGGGAACCTGCCCAGAAACCCTACAATATAGGGCGAGGGCTAAAATAACAGCGGACGAGGACTTCAAGAGAGAGATAAAACAAATCCGCAAGAACGCGGAGCAAGAAACACTCAATGCGATTATACGATTCCATCAACGAGAAATCGGCCGATTTAAGGCCGAAGCCAAGAAAGGAAAGCGAGCCACACCGGCTATAGCACTGAACACTAAGAACTGTAGTACGATCGAACCAGCGCGCCCAGCGCAAGCTGAAAACAATGTAACGATCGAATCAGTAAAGCAAATTGCTGTTAACCTCCAGGCACAAATCGCCCAGTTCGGCAATATGATGCAACAACTAGGAGCCATTGAAAATAAAGAAGTTCAAAAGTACACATGTGTATTCTCTGACTCCCACCACAAACATGGGGCCAAAAAACAAATTTTAAAAAGCCAAACGGCTAGCAACCAATAAGCGCAAAGAGCGCAGAAAGGTCAGACGCCAGAAACATTCAACTATCACTATAGAGGCGAACAAAAACACATAAAAAACCTCTCAAACAAAGAACTTACAAATGACCAGATTAATTTACTGGCAAAAGGGCTTAAATTCATTCCAACACCCGTTACAAAACAAACACAAATCAGGCAACAACTCTTGCGTGACTTTGATCAGTTTGCAAGAAGAATGCGTCTCATGTACATATTTCGAGGGAAAACAACGAACCCCATCCTTACCATGTCAAATCTGCATGGGAACCACCAATACAACGATCAGTAGCCCTTGAAAGTTACCTAGAAGAGGTTAAGAGCGACCTTGCAGAAATAGAAATAACAAAGCCAAAAATAATCTGCCTCCGGCCGAACGTGAGGCTCTGAGAGCCCTAAAAAGTGACACTGAAATAAACCTTAAAAAGGCCGATAAAGGAACAACAACCGTAGTCATGAACACACAAGACAAAATTAAAGAAGGCCAAATTCTACTAGACAACAAAGACAACTACAGGCCTCTTGCATCACCCATGGTCACTGATACAAACCATAAAGTTAAACAACTTATTACAGACCTCCACAACGGGGATCACATAGACGACATGACTAAAAAATGGCTTTGTCAAACACCAAATCCGCCTCGAATTCCAGAATTTTACACCCTCACTAAGATACACAAGCCGTCCCCGGTCGGCAGACCGATAGTATCAGGGTGTGATGGCCCAACAGAGAAATTATCATCATTTGTCGACAAACTCCTTCAGCCGATAGCACAACAACAAAAGTCTTATCTTAAAGATACTACCGACTTCGTCAATTTCATAGAAAATACGAAAGTCCCAGTGGACGTCATACTTGTTTCAATGGACGTTACGAGCTTGTATACAAATATACCGCAAGAGGAGGGAATAGACACGGTATGCAGAGCATACGAAATATTCTATAGAAACGAACCTCCTATCCCTACACAACTACTAAAACGAGCGCTCAGGCTAA